ATGACTGTATTGCAGAGCTAGAAGTGTTCCATGACTGTATTGCAGAGCTAGAAGTGTTCCATGACTGTATTGCTGGGAAATTGATTCAGTTGTCCTATCTTTTACAGAATATTCAGAAGGTGAATCACTTTTTTATATTGTCAGTCCGAGTGATGTGGTAGTGGCCAAAGAACGAGATCAAGATGATCACATTGAATGGCTCTTGGAGAAAAAGAAATATGAAGTAACTATTAAACCTTTTCCTTCTTTCAATCTTAATGGTACCATAGAAAAAGAAAAAAAATAGTTCCCTATTTTCTAATTGCTTCAATAAAAGTCGATGTTATATACAGGAATTTTACTGTGTTAATTAGGATAGGTGCTGTGGTTTTAGACAAAATCATATTCTCTCCAGTTACATTTATTTATTTAGAGAACTTACATGGCTGCCCATCTTAAATGAGAGGCAGTTTGGTGTAGTGGTTAAGGCATTGGGCTAGAAACTAGAAGTCTGTGAGCTCTAGTCCTGCCTTAGGTGTAAAGCCAGCTGGATAACTTTGGGCCAGTCATTCTCATTCAGCCCCAGGAAGAAGGCAGTGGCAAACCACTTCTGAAAACCTGCCAATCAAAACTGCAGGGACTAGTCCAAGCAGTCTCCAGGAGTGAGTCAATATCTCAAAGGCCCAAACTCATCTTAAATGCCTAACTCTAGGCAGCTAACAACAATCCACATGCCATACAGCTGCCATTATCCCTACATGTGTGAATGTAGTATCTTTGTAGATCCAAAATGTACTGATGTTATTCCTATATTATTTAACATAATGCATTGTTATTTAGATATGTCAGTTAGAAAGTAAAAGAAGGGACTACAATGACTTAAATGTTTGCCTTACCATGTGTATACTTACTGTAAGTTTTTTTAAAAATATATGTACAGGCCTTTTGAATAATGTATTCAGTCCCAGGCTCTTAATACTAATATCTCAAAGACAGCTCTGATGCCAAGCAGTAGAGATTCA